ATATATATATATATATATATATATATATATATATATATATATATATATATATATATATATATATATATATATATAGCAGTATCTGATCAACAATTTAAGCTTCCAGCTGCACAAAATCAGTAAGAAAAAAAAACAAAAAACTGCTCTTATAATGTGTGCATGTGTGATTTTTTCCTTCTCCAATCAGTGTCAGGAAATGTATAACAAACAGTGAAACAAATAAAATTGGACCGTGTATCAGAATACTTTTCAGAATACTTTTAATACATTACATTTTAATGCAGATATTCAGTATTCTGTAACTAAATACATTTTCAAAGTATTCCTCCCATCACTCTCTATGCTTACATCATGTCTCGCGAGCATGTGAGTGTTGGTGCGTCTAAACTGGTGAGGGCACAGGCTGGGCACAGGCTGGGCACACTCCAGCCTGAGTGTGTGGGAAAGCTTGTGGTGTGTAATTGGAGGCGCGCGGTGCTGGAGGTGTGTACAGGCCATGCACAGGGCTCTCAGGGCTTTGTGCACGAAAACACTTCTCCTCTCTTCTCCTCTTTTCTCCTCTCTTCTCCTCTCAGACATCACTTGAGCCTCTATAGGACTGTGGCCGCTTTGCCTCTTTGTCTGTCCACAGTAACTCTTTGTACACCTAAATACTCAGTGTAGGTTTGATTTGGACATAATATTCCACTAACCACCAGAAAATATACACATCTAATATTGTATGAAATTTACTTTAAATCAATAGATAAAGACTTTATACCAATTAGGTTTAGTGTTTTTTTTGTTTTGTTTTTTAATTCAAATGGGTTTTCTTATGTATGGGTTTCAGAATGATGATAAATTAGGACTGTTTCTGTAGTAAACATAGTATAAAAATAGTATAACAATTTTCAACAAACTATTAAATAAGTCCTTAAAATGTTGCACATAACAGAAAGCTGAAACTGTGAATAGTCAGAGCAGTCTCAAAGAAATTCCCACAACAGATGCTAATTGTTTTTATTCTAATTATTTACATTACTTACTTACTCAGTGGTTTGAAACTATATAATAGTTTAAGGCCTGTTCATTGTATTATTTTTACTAATCTGCACCAGGATCTGTTCATTGTTCCACTGAAATGTTGAAATGTTGAAAATAATAAATTATTATATGACATTCACTGAAATAATCCAACTACACCCATTAGCATGAAAGAAAAACTATAAAAAATAATAATTAAATAATGATTAAAGTTCTCTGGTCAAATATTTTGGAATAATGAGATCTAATCTAGATGCATTTTAATTGCATTCTATAGATCTGATAGTTCCCCACGCCCTTTTTACTCATCAGGTTAGGATTTTTAGGTTTATTCCAAATTTGATCAGAGAAATAAGAGATTTGATCAAGGCATCTTTCTGTGTGTTTAAAACAGATCAATTCCTGACAAATTATGAGACTCACAGACAAAATAAAAATGGTACTACATGCCGAGTAAATGCGTGATGTGAAAAAAATGGTACGAAGTTATAGCAGTGGGCCTTTCCCCAGCAGAGAACACTGCCTTTGTTATTGATCTGGAGCAGTGACTTGGAAGAGCTTCTAAACTCCTGTTGCGCCACATTAGAAAGGCCTGCTTTCCTTTGTCTATGCCGCTAACTTGTCATGGCATCTTAAGATGCAATTATTTCCAACTCATTTTTGCATAGAAACCTAATTATTCACCGTGATATAAATTAGATTCCACATTCAGAGAGCTCTCTCCTGCCGACAGCTTTTCTCTGAGGTGGAGAGGAGCCGCTGCAGCTGCTATTCACTGCACACAGATAATTGTAAATGGGAAGTCAGTGCGTGGCATTATGTTGTCCACACATCATTGTTCATTTCCCCCATGGCCCATTGAGACCTGTGTGGACGACCAGAGAGTTTCCTTTGAGTTTTGGTATTCACAATGTGTTGCCTGGAGACTGATAAAGGCCCAAATCATGCACTGTATTGGCCAAGATGGGCCGCAGACTGGCCCACGGCAACAATGGACGGTTTGTAAAAAGGCGTTGATACAAGTTAATGACGCTTGTTCAACAAAACCTTAATGGACTTCTTCACGCTATAATATGGCATGGGATGCGCTCTGAATGAGGGGGGGGCTCCACTTTTACAACTTTGTGTGTGTTTTACCAATGGGAGGAGCGCACTACACTGCACACACAAAACTTTGTGACTCTATGTCACTGTTCCACAGGGACACTCAAAATCAAAACACTGCATTTGATTTTAAAAAGATGAACACGTGGTTAAATAAACACATGTTATGATAAATATACAATTACCCATCATTATACATTGTACAGTACTCACCCAGTCTCCAACACAGCTTGTTAATGTTGCTTTCCTGTGCAGTTCTGTTTAACAGCAGCAGCTCATCCTTCATCTGTGGATTGTCTGGAAGAGTTCTTAGTGTTAAACTGAGGATGCAGACCCAACAGGAGGATCCCAACCCACAGACTTCCACCAGACTTCCATCATGTGATTGACCTCCATTCACAGGTCCCTAAAACAAACAGCAGTATGGCAAAAGGCCACCAAAGTCCACTGTTTCTTGGCTGCTGTTTTCAATGTAACCTTACTAAAGTTAACATTGTTTTACACTAAGACAAGCCCACCCCTTTCCCTAACCTTAACCATTACAGATCTATGGCAGCACATTTTAGGACAAAATGGCTATGTGATTTGTACTTGTACATGTAGACTACATACAATAAATGCTGAATTTGGTGACAACATGTTTTAAACTGCTCATTTCCCAGAACAGATAAGAGCAAAGGCAGCACAAAGATATTTTAAAATTAGGACACTTTTAAAAATGGGGATTAAATGTACAATATCTGAAGTGCTACTAAGTGCAAACAAAAAAAAAAACTTGTAAAAACATGTAATAGCAAACTAAGGCAAAAACTGATTAACAGAAAGAAAAAAAAAAAGAAAGAAAAGAGTAAATTAATGAAAGTGGCGAGGGACATGGGTGGAGGTGCATCCTGATTTAGGTCTGCAGGGTTGGGTAGTTTGGGTGGAGGTCTGCAACCAGACTCTCTTGTTTAAACTAAATGATTAATACAAAATACACTACTGTATGAGCACTTTATCTATAGTAGCCTAATTGGATTGCTTACAGAGCATACCAAAAAAGAGAAGTATAAATAAATATCTGTACACTTATATCTATATCTATAAACATATGTTTTTATGCTTAATATTTATACTTTATTTATTCTTATTTAAAACAATGAATGTCATGATTAATTACACGTCAGCATGAAGTGAAAGGGGTGAACTGGGCAGAACAGAGGCCTGTGATATTAGCTCAAAGCGGAGGAGGTGGGGCCCTGCATGGGTGATTTATACATTTCTCAAATTCTTTTCCATTTAAACAGGAATGATACTCCACGAGGCCCCCGGTTGTTGCACCGACTTCTTAACTTAACTCAAGCGGACGGAAAAAACTGCAGCTCTCCCTGTCACCCCGGGCAGAAGAAAAGGAATCAAAGGATTTCTATTCCCTTAAATGGACTAATTTTCTCCTTGAATTATGAAAGTAATGGCTAGGTAACAGCCAGTGCTCAGTACCCACTGCTTAATGCTTCTTAAACCCTTCCACGTGGCCCCGCTAGTCCCGGCAATTAGGCCTCATTATAGCCTCATAAAGGGTCTCGTTTGTGGGATTACTTCATAGACAATGAAATTTTTATCGTGCAGAATTATGGAAAATAATATCAGAGCGAGTGTGGTGTGATGACGGCGCGCGCCATGAATCATTCCGCTCAGATAAATCGCTCAAAGTGTGTGCGTCTGCGGAGAGGGTAATCTGCGCCATAACAACGTCTCCAGTTCGAAGGCAAGATTCACTTTATTAGAGCAATTACTGTCTGAGTTACTGACAGACGTGCGCGCTCCTGACGCGCGTTGGTTGGATTTTAAAGACTTTCTGATACACAGGTCGAGCCAGAGAGAAGATCAGAGGTGTCCAGGTTCCTGTTTTGCACTCAGGGTCAGACAGTAGCATACTATTTGTTGGGGCTTCTTAACTTAACGCGTCTGAGCGTCAGAGGCGGTAGGTGGCAGATGAAAGCAGAAGCTGAGCCCAGCGCTGACCCGAGAGTGGGGATCAAACTCGCTAATTATTGTCACAAGATGAAGGATTAGGGCATTTCTCAAATAACTGTGTGTTTACCCCGCACACTGCGCCCTTTATAAACACTTTCTAATTGAATCATAATCGCCATCCAATAACCACCTGAGCGCGCACTCTGCATCACTTTTTCATTATTTAATCGCCTCCACAGGTGCTTTTAGAGGCGCGCGCCTATCAGGGCGGGCGCGCATGCACACATAAATTCAGTACAATGTATTTTGGTTCATAACACCTGCAGCTTTGTGCATGAACAGAGTTACACGAATGTAAGTCTATCTGAAACCGCCACGAAACAAATGCTTAAGAAAAAACAAGTGTTGAATGTATGCATGTAGCACTCAAAAAAAAAAAAAAAAAAAAAAAAAAAAAACGACCAAGAAAAAAAAAGCATGCAGTAGCTGTAATAGTATTGAATTAGAAAGCCTGTAATACATTGTAGTATAGTGTTTGTAAACGTCAGCGGTCAGTAGCTGTCAGTGCAGGTGTCTGGATAACAGAGCCTCATTATAAACGTACAGGGAGGGTATTAGTAGTTAATGTTATTGTAGCGAAGAGCGGTCTCTGTGAACTGGTGAAATGGGGCTAAAAACACTAACTGTCCAAGATGTGATTGGAGGCCCGGGGAGACATCACGTGGTGCGGGGTCTCTAACTGCACAAACCCCCCAGGAGCCGGGAGCGCACGTGGGTGACGCTGCAGGGCCAGCCCTCTTCTGGGCTCCCTTTTGTTGAAGCATCAAACATAAGCACCTTAGGACTCTCCCGAGGGGCTTCACATGAGAGACGGCTGTCCTTCTTCCTTCTTGCTCTACGCACACGAACCTACAGCCATGTCGCGCTCTTTCTATGTCGACTCTTTAATCATTAAGGATCCGGTGAGACCACAGCATCCCGCGCAGGACTTCCTCATCCCCATCAGCGCGGTGCACTCTCCAGGCGTCATGACGGTCACATCCCCAATGTGTCCCTCCAGGAAGAACGGCACCTTCTGCGTGTGTCCACTGTGCGTCACGTCGCACCTCCACTCCTCCCGCGGCGGGATTCCTGTGCTCAAGAGCCAGTTCCCTGGAACCGAGGCGCAGTACTGCCACAGGGTACCGCACCAGCACCAGAGTCCAGCTCTCGCACACCCTGCGCATACGCCTGTCTGCGCACCCACGTTCAGTGTCACAGACCCGAGGAGGTACCACTGCCTGTCCATCGGTAAGTAACACCTGTATAACATACTGTTACTACTTTATGCACGGGATTCCACCTGTTTGCATTGCCACATTTGAAGCAGTGAAAGAAACGGAACACAATCAAAGACTAACTATATTTACTAGTTTAAAATAAAACTTTAAGTGACGTTGGGATGTGCACAGCTCCAGCAGTGGGCCTGAAATACATGTCTCTTTTTCTTCCCTCAGGCGCCTCAGACAGCACACAGATCCAGAATGGAAAGAGGATGCGCACAGCCTTCACAAGCACACAGCTCTTAGAACTGGAGAGGGAATTCTCCTCAAACATGTATCTGTCCAGACTCCGGCGGATCGAGATCGCCACGTACTTGAACCTGTCCGAGAAACAGGTGAAGATCTGGTTTCAGAACCGCAGAGTCAAGCACAAGAAGGAGGGCAAGTCCACCCAAAGGAGCAGCAGCGCGCACAGCGGCTGCAAGTGCGCCACGGGACACCTAACACCGGACTATTCCAGGTCAGAGGACGAAGAGTCCATGTCCCCGGTGTCTGTGTCTGAAGAAAAGGAGGTGTCCCCTATCTAACGCACGCGCGCGTCCCGTCCTCCTGATCCTGTGGAGTCAGAACCTACGTCCGTCCCGCATGAACTTTTACAGACTGTGAAAAGTTGACTGTTGACGGGACATCCTGTTATCGATGTTATACGTGCATGTTTCCGGGAGCGTAAGTGACGTGAACCTAAAGTAAACGTGGATGATTTTGGAACAGTGTGTAAACTATGTACATGTGTATTTATTGTAATAAATATAAGATTAATTGGAAGCACGTTGTTATGTTTTGAGTATAAGGGCATCGCAACACATTTTATCTCTAATTATTTGTCCAAACTCAGGGTCCTTTGTTTAGCCTAATTATAGGTCTACATTATTTGCATTCTTTTTTGTGGAAATTTACACTAAGATGTGCTATTGCTGAGATTAAGTTTTATAGTTCTTCATTTGGTAAATTAAATATCTGTTCACTTTGTAAAGCCTCGTTCAAGGTTCACATTTTCAGTAGGCTTCTTCTAATGCGTTGTAATACAGGCCTAAATGTCGAAAAGTCCCAAATGAAATAATTACAAAGATGTTATAAGACTGTCAAATTGACTTAAATCTCTGGACCTTTTACACTTTCGGGCCCTCAAGTAATTTCACCATAGCAACACGATACACCTGCCACTAACATGAAAAACGCGTGGAGAGAATGGTGTTTTGTTGTAGGATACAATCAAAGTAAATTGGAAATAAAGTCACATGGTTCTATCAAATTCGTTTGTGTTTTACTAAAAATAGTCTATAGGCTAAATATAAAAGCAAATAGGCTAGTGTGCTTTAAGAGCCGCAGTGTGTTATTAAGCTGCTATTACTGCTCCATTGAGCCCGGCCCCAGTGTATTTGGAGACACATACAGCAGCTCATCATTTACATGATATAGGCCTTAGTTTGGAATGGATGGAGAGCACTATGAAGCTGTAATTTCTCCTTAGATCCGACCACAAAAGGGTACCCGATAACGCCCCGTGGGGAGCAGCCAATAGTCCCTTAATGCCTGCTTTTCAATGGATTTTTGGTTGTCCAAGTCCAGTTTAATTGCGTTTCGGGTCCCACGTCGGTCGGTTGATTATGCTGTTACTGCGTGGAAGCGCGGAACAAGGATATATAGAAGTGACCAAAGGCTTTGACAGGTTAGATTGTCCTGCCTTGGGACTCTCATTTAGGCGCGGACCCCCTGACGTCTGCGTGCTCAGAGCGCTTTGAGAACCAGCTCCAGGGTTCCTCCTGCGACACACAACCATTTAGTCACTGTTTCATTAGGCGCTATTTGAGGCTTTCAGGCGGCGCTGAATCAAATGGAGCGGACTCACAGAGAGCAGGGATTATGGAGGAGGGCCCACTGGAAATTAGCAGACGCCTAATTTAACTCGTTTCTGTCCGAGTTTGGGATACATTCCTAATTGAGAGGGGAAGCAGGTGAAGTTGCGGTCCCACGCAGGCCCATTCAGAGCGCGAATCAATGGTCCTCTTTTCACGTCTCACTGCTGATCATATATTATGAGGGCAAAGCCACCTAATGAATATATAAGCTCCTATTAATCGAATTAGGGTGCCTCTGCAGGTGTGTGGAGTTCCTCTGCAGCACTGACAACCAATGACAATAGAATAAACACTTTGCAATAATCCTTGGCGGCGTGAACCAAGATTGCAAGACCACCATGGATAGATTGATCAGAAAGAAAGAGAGAATGAGAGAGAGAGAAAACAAAAACATTTATGTACTAAACTGGTCTGGGTTTTACTCTCCAACTGGTAGACTATTTGTTGTTTTGTGCGCATTTAATCGCACTATAACTCTCCACTCTAAAGATGTCAGCCCTCAACGACCTCTATTGACAAAAAGTGGCAATTACGCATGACAAAAGGTAATTAATAAGCGGCTTTGAGGCGCTGCAGCTGCTCGTGATGAAGAGACACAAGTAGAACAAACTCAAGTGCCGTTGGAGAACTGTGTCTGTTTCCTATTGGCTGACGCACGCACGCGAGCATCCCTCTCAGTGTCCAGACACGAGAGAGCCCTGGACGTTGTAGTGAATAATAACGCAGACTCAAATGGCGATGATGATCCGATGGGTCACGTTGTTAATATTATTAAGTGTTTAGTAAAATGCATCCATTATATAGATATTATGTTCTAATTCTATAAGATAACTTAACCTTTATTTGTCTCACAGTGGGGAAATTACAGTGTTACAGTGCAAAGTTCAAGAACAGCAGGTGAGTAGAAATGCAACCAAAAATCAAATTGAACTTGGACTTTAGTCTACTTGAATAGAGTTACAAAAAGATACAGATACAAAAAGTCGTAAAGATAATAAAATGCAACACCGTGCAGCAAAAATATTAGGCCATATATAAAACTACAATGTACAATAATGATATATTAATGTTGCTGAAGCTAACTGTTTCTTGCTCTTTCAATCTAAGTTATGTTTAGATAATAAAGCATATAGAGGAGTAAATTTTATATGAAGGCATAAAAAGATGACAGTGGTCTACATTTAACTCGGCTGTCACAAGATTATCAATATAGTAGCTCATTCTGATACAGAAAAAAGTATTTGCACCATAAACGTACACGTAGCCAAAAAGTAGCAGGAGCTGCAGATGAAAAGTAGGATAGCTAAATCTGGTTGTTGGATGAATGCATTTGTACATAGTCCCTGACAAATAGCCTAAAGAATAACCTATGCTGACCTTTCCATTCCATAAAAAAAATTAAATAAAAATAAAATAATAATAATAATAATAATAATGATGAATGAACTTATTTATTCTAGCATGTGCCATAGTATTCTTTTAGGTCCAAATGTGTTGGTTCATCTGTTGATCGGTCAGAGTTGTTATAAGTAAAAACAGGGGCTTGGGGCCAACCAGACCGTGACAGACAGACGGTCACGTGTCTGAGGAAAGAGCTCAGACCTTGGCGTGACTCGTGACTTCAGCACTCCGGACAGCTCCCCCAGAATACGCCCACAAGAGCGACGACACAGCGCGCCCATCCGTCCTGTCACACACTTAAAATGAAGCGTCCAAATCTCTCCTAACAGCAAAATACAAATGTTCACCTTTGATTTTACAGATAATAGACTGGGCTATGGGTTCCACACTTAACTTGTCTGGGGCACTTCCAAACACTCTAAAGTGCGTATGCCCGTCTTTGCTAATGCTTTATTTATTTATTTATTTATTTATTTGACTTGATCGCAATTAGGTCTTTGATAGTTTGTTGTGAAACTTAAAACTTTTTAAGGCCAACACCTGGACCAACATGATGAGATAATGAATGGTACAATCATATCTATGGTTCTGGTCAACTCATTTTCAACAAGGATAATTTTATATGAGATCTATTTTCTGTTTAAATGAGGTCCGTTGTCAATTTGCAGGAGTAACAGGTTTTTGTGCGTCTGTCCCCCTAGTGGACAGACAAGGATAGGAGCGTATCATGTATTCCATTCCACTGTCAAATCATGACATTTTTTTGTGAACGTGCAGCGTTTAGGAGTTCTATTCTGCCCATAAAGCAGAGTGCAGAGTCACGCTAAACGCCCCTCTGTCAACAACAGGAATCAGATATTTTGAGCTAAAAGAGGCAAACGTTAGAAGTGAGACGTGAGCCGTGCGTGAGGCGCTGTTGTGCCTTTGTCTGGAGAACAACGACACTGTTCTTGTGAGCAACATGTGGAAGTGATTGCGCTGAGCGGCTGGTGCGGGGAGGGGGCTCTGCTGTCTCTGTCCGGGCACATAGGTGATTCATTGGGGCATTATCCCACTTCTAAACCCCACGGGCTTCTCTGCACCGCTCTACCCCGGGGCAAAGACTCGTTGTGCAGCTGACGCGCGTGTGCCAGTGTGGCCATTAATAGCTATTTCCTACAAAGGCAGATGAAAGATAAAAGGTTCTTTCAGGGATAATTTGTTACATTTAACTTACGATGAAAAGCATTTTTGCATATTTCAAATGTGCCATTGCAGCCACAACAAAGAGTCTGCTCTATAAAACCCCTTTATAATGCGTAAAGGTTCAAATGACTTACCGTCAATTAATAAAGTTCAACTTATGCAAGTGTATCAAACATATATTTTATTTATTAAATTATTTAATTATTCACTACTACTACTACTACTACTACCACTAATAATGATAATAATAATAATAATAATAATAATAATAATGATAATAATCTTCATCATCATTATAGTCATCTTATAAATAATAATAATGCATTCACTTTGCCCTTTGTTTGTATGTCAATAAACATCATTTTAATACGAGTAACCACCAGTAATGTTTAATTATTCCTTTACATGTGACCTGTTTTCTTTTTAAGTGCAGACCAGCTTTTACACGCGCGCGCGTGCGTTTATTTTGCAAACAGATGAGCCACTTCTGTAGTGGTCATACAGTTGTGTTGGAGCGCCCTCTAGGAGCTCCAGCGTTGGTTTTCGACTCACCACCTCGGAGACCAGTTAGTTACTGTAATGAACTCTTAATGAGTTTCAACACGAAGGAACAGGTTTGTATGTAGGCTATTAAATGCACATAACGTCAGATGTAGCCCTTAAAAGATAAAAGAAAAATGGAAGGAATGGAAAAGAATTATAATGAGGCTACAAGAATCCATAAATAACTAACTGGATTTAAACTGAAATATATACGTTTTTCTCTCTATGTGTCTCGCTCTCTTTTTCTGAGCCATACTTACTTTGAGCCAGATGATAATTTCTTCTCTTTCTCGATGCTGCCGGTGGTGGTGGTGCTGTTTTTCGGGGGGCGGGTGGACGCGGGGCCAGGGGGTGGACTGTAACACTGAATCAGTTACAGGTCGCTGTGGAGCTGAGGCGCATTCGTGAGGGCGGTCGCGAAAGGCGCACACCACACAACGCAGACATATGGTCGCCCAGCGCAGGACCTCTGAAGGATTACCCCTCTTGTAAAGGACCCTGACTGCGGACCATTCACTGTGGATATACTGACACCGGAGCGATAGAAAGAGGGGATTACTGAAGGTAAACGCGCGCTTTGTGGAAGTTTTTGCGACTAATTGGGGAGTTTTACGCACGAATACGTGACAGGAAAATTGGATTATATTGATTTGCAATCCATTTCTGCACACAATACATTTAATTTTATACATTTTGTAGAATAGGTAAAACTTTTTAAAAGTTGAAAAGAGTCGCATCCAAAGTTTTGCACGGCCTTTACGCGTAGTAGCAAGTGCGTAATTTTCTACACTTTGGTTTGGAGCATATTGCCCCGTGCTGGACGCCTAGCGGGGACATGACGCTGACTCTACGGGATGAAAGCGATGGGTCCGGGCCTCACAGCTGGAGATGTCACTGAGGACTGAAGAGCCATTGTGGGACACTCACTTTGGCACTTAATGAGAAACACACGCACTGGAAATGTTGTACACGGCATTGTTTTCGCGAAGGAATCTGAGGAATTAAAAGCTGGAAAAACTTCAACGGTGGAGCAAAGGAGAGACTGGAGTCTTGTTGAAGAAGAGAGTGTGGTTTTGGAGCGGTTGCGCATTCTTCTAAATGAGTCCTGCTGCGTTAAGGGGACTCTAACAAAGTTGATATTCAGGATATATAAGTTTTTCCACTTTCACTTTGAATGTTATGCATTCGCAAACTCGATGGGAATCAGCTGCTGACGCAAAGCGATAGTTACACCAAACGACTATCAGCTGTCGCAGGGACATTTGTTGAGTCGCTCGGTGAGAAAGGGGACAGACTTAAACACACAGTAGAAGAAAAAAAGAAGTAAAAGACATATCGTTTTGGATTGTCTAAGGCGAGGCGTGTTCACAAACACGTCAAATCCAATTAAAGATCATTGACATGAATGCTGCGAAAATACACGCTTTTGTGCTAAGTGGGACCGGTTGATTATAGAGTGAGCCAAACCCAGGTTACCCAAGAATCATTAAGCCGTCTCAGACGCTCCACAGCGGGCACCCACAGGAAACTGCGCGGGGCAAAAGTTTCATTATACACAAATCTACAAGTGTCAACGACAAACCAATCTACACTAGGGCCTGCTATCAAAAGTCTGTGTGCAGCAGAAACCCACAATGTGGCGCACAGACGCGCTTTCATCCAAAGGGAGCCCGGACCAGACTGTGTGGCCCCACTGAAACCGGAATCCATCATTTAGAGAGACAGCTCAGACCTGGATTTTTAGACAACAGTTCACAAACAAAAGAAAACCCATCTAAACAAGTAGATTATTTTCTCAGAAACAACTTTGAACATTTGACAAATAGGGTAACTGTGTCAACTATTTTCAGTAGGCTAGTCAAAATATTAATAGTAGCATTTTAAATTAAGTGATATTTTCGCCATCTATTGTTCAGCCGAAAAGAAAAAAAAAAACACTAAGAACTGGGCGGTAATAAAAAATGAAGGGAAAATAACGCGCGATGGGGGAGAAGTGCGATGACGCTCGATGTCTGAAATAGCGGACTATGTCGCCCCCACGTGGCGACTTGTAAAATAGTTTAAGGGAATTTGGCATTCATGTCAGCTCTGAAAGGCTAACTTTTATGGGCTCAATGATTATGGGATATTGCTTAAGTCTAGACAAAGTGTACCCAAAATATTGAAATACATTGAAAACACCAGATCATAAGACAAACTGAGTATCAAATTCACATTTTCAGTGGTGGTTTTTCTCTCTCTGCAGGCCAGAACATCCATCAGCATGGATGTGCTAAAGCCGTGCGCTGTGTTGGTGACTCTTATCTCACGTAAGTTAATTAATGTGTCGCGTAGAGTGCAGATTTCACTTCCCAGTCATTCATTAGCGACACTTCCTAATGTAGCACCTCTTTATTTACAGTTACCTGCGGCTTGTCACCACCCACTATCATTTCCAACGAAGAGGAATTTATTCTGCAGCCAAACTCCATGTTCAACATTAGCTGTACGGGGAAGAAGAGCGTGGTTTGGGCCGAACCTTTGCCTGATAACGCCTATGTTTTACCGGGATTTTACACTTCTACGCTGTTCATTGACAATGCCACTGTGGAGAACACCGGCTACTACATGTGCACGTACGAGACTTTTGAGGGAGAGCCAGAGGAGAACGAGACGGGCATATACGTCTTTGTACCAGGTAATATGTTTAAGCCTTTTGCTGCAACAACTTACAAGAGTTGATGAGTGATTTAGAGAGGTTGCGACATGCCATTTGCGCCTGTTGTAGGCCCAAAGAAAACATTGGCCAGGAAAAAATCTAACTACTCAGAAATGCAAGAGACAGTGCACAGTAGTAGATGCAAAATTAGCCACTAGAAATAAAACGTCAACAAACAAAACTAAAACTGAGCAAATGAGTTAAAACTGCATCACCACTTCATAAACAAGCCTAGTCCAGCCAGAAGCAAGGCCCTGTTTGTGCTTTGTCTGTACTGAACCTTGTAAAAGAAAGTCCATGTTCATTTATATATATATATATATATATATATATATATATATATATATATATATATATATATATATATATATATATATATATATATATATATATATATACCACTGGAGATTTTCTTATTGCCAAATTTCTGTGTGGACTCAGCTTTGTTGTTTTTCTGATTTTGGGATGTAATGATGTACCTCTCTCAGTGCACTGTTTGTATGATAGTATCACAGAAAACACTGAACTTAACATCTCTCTTGTAATGTGGTGTTATGAAATGTGTGAAATGTATATTCACTTATCTTCCTCTCTCCCAAATTTCCAGATCCCCTAACACCCTTTGTCCCAGAGTCTCTGGAAAACCTGATTGTGCCCATGGATCATATTGGTGTGTCCATTTCCTGTCGAGTATCTGACCCTCAGTACCACGTAGTCCTGAAGAGCGTGGTCAGCGGAGAGGAGCGCTCTATTCTTTATGACAACAAAATCGGCTTCTTTGGCACTTTGTCTCCTGGCCGCTACTACTGCGAGACCACTGTGAATGGACGGACCTTTCAGAGTGCTATCTACACTGTTGAGGATGAAGGTCAGTTAAACAATGGTAACGAATAGGGTGTTACATTTGGACATAAGAATTGTTTTATTTTAGTGATAAGGAAGATCATTTATTTAGAGTTACAGAGGTGATTAGATATAGGCAGAGAAACAGCTGGGAACACTCTTCTGTCCGACGATGATCTCACTGCGTTATGTGGCATTATGTCATTATCACAGATGACTTCACCCTCAGTCTATATACAGCCATGTCAAAACGTTTGGGTGAGGTGAGAGATGCTGTTAACTGAGCGCTTTGTTTCTTTTGTTATGATAAAAAGAAATCCTGAATGCTCTGTACTTAGGCATGGAACTATTATTTATTTTAAAGTGGGTTCTGCCTTTTTCTTGCTGGAGTGCTTTTGACCAATGGCTCTCAAACTTTCACACCGAGTACCACCAAATAAAATATTTGGCTTTCCAAGTATCAACAGATCTAAATCAAGTATGTAATAGGACTATTCCAGGTCTAATCTAGGGCTAAACCAGGTCTAAAAGTGGACTACATCATTTCCACTGTAGTTCTAAGCAAGACATGTGATATGGAGATAGTATTAGATTTAATAAGTACGTGTTTCTTAACATAATAATCATTTTGGTTTTCATTTATTGTTATTGTCTAACGTGCATTGTTGGCTCTAGACACTGCAGTTTTGGATGACCTCAAGTTAGAAGTGAAGGCCAGTGATGAGACACTCACTGTGGGACAGGCTCTGGACATCACCTGCACTGTTCAAGGTGGACCCTTCTTACAGCAGCAGTGGCTTCACCCCAAGAAACAGGTAAAGCAGCTCATAAAGCAGTGAATGAATGTGCCTGGCTTTCTGTATATATCTCTATTTGTTAGTATTGTGACTAACTATTAGTTGTGTTTGCCGTAGGTCCAAAGTAGATTATAATACAGTAATATAGATACAGTATAGAGCAGGTGTCTCCAGCCTGTAGCTCAGGAGGTACCAGTAGCTTTCCACTCCCTTCCAAGTAGCTCACCAAGGGGTTTTTGAATTATATGTATTGTGCATAATAAGTACAATCTGATTTATTACCATTGTAAATGTATCATTTTGATGCCTAACTTGGTGAACTGATAAATGGATAATGGTTTATGTTTTGTAAGCATCTAACTTCCCATCTAAAGCTCACCGTGGTTCTTATATTTACTCAGTTTCTTTGCTACTGCTGAAATTGATAGCTCTCTAGCATTTTCGTTTTGTAAAGGTAGCTCACTGGAGAAAAAAGGTTGGAGACCCCTGGTATAGAGGATAGTTTTGTATAGTATTGTATAGTAACAAAGTACAGAGGTAGCAATATGTTTGTGTAACATCACTTTTTTTTTACATTTCATGCCCATTTCCTACCAGCTTCCACTAAAGCTTAAATTAGCAAATAATGGTTTTGGACTTAGCTGGGGCAAGCAGAATATAACTGCAAGGACAGCCCATAGCGGTTACTTGAGCTTGTGTCGGGAAACCGAGTGACCAAATGTTGTGTCTTTATTATGAGGATGTCAGCCAAATAACACTGTACAGTTAACTCTAAAAAAAGACAGGAAAGATCTAAGCAGCTTGTCTTAGGAAGTTGTTCTAAAGGCTTGACCTCAGTTGGATGAGTGTATTTTTGCAGCTCAATCCACTTCAATTTATGTTTGTTTGTATGCTCCTAATGCGTTAAATAATTTTTTTCCCAACCTGGAATTCCTGTAATTCCTTTCCCAGATGCCCTAAGGACGAAAACTTTGAGACCCCAATTCCTGTTTTTGGTCTTGGTCACAATTACAGGCTTTAAAAGACCTTATGATCCTGATTTATCGCCTGTGCTGTAGCAAGTGTTTTAGCCATTAGCATTTAGCCCCACAATGAACATTCTGTCTCTCTTACTGGAAAACTAAATATTCTAAATATTCTTCCTGCTGGTTGCTTGATCTTTGACCTGTATATGTGCTTTTTGCAGGCGGTGGATGCTGTTCAGAAGAAAGACGTCTTTTCAGAACATGTCATCTACACGCTACACATCTCCAAAGCCTCTGCTCAGGACAGTGGTACTTATGAGTGCTCCGTTACGGATCAGATCACTGGAGAGGTCAAAACTGGGACCGTGGCTGTCATTGTATTCGGTAAGTTCAGTTAGATGTGCAGACCTGTGCTAAAGTCTATATTTTAAGTAGAGAAAATGGTCACAAATTGGCTATTAAATGAAATTACTTTTACAAAAACATACTACTTTAGTCTTTTGTTTTGTATGTTTTTCAATGTTGCAAACCATTTTCAAATATTCATGAGTTTCAGCTTCCTGTTATAATTTCAGCCAAACCAAAACATACTATTTTGTTGTAACTAGTTAAACATTATGGCAACAGTCGTGATTTTTCATCATTTTGAAACCCAGGAATAAACAGAATTTTCTAACTTAACTCATTAAAAGAAGAAATTATCCGTGTTAGTAGACCTTTTACCATAGTGGACTATTCGAAGCATCATTTACCCCAAAATTAAGAAACTATTTAAATTGTCCATGGTCAATCAGAGCCTACAAATAACTTTTCCTAATTGTTGTCTTTAGAGTATATATATATATGTAAACATAATATAAGATTTCTATGTCGATATTGTTTCTGCATGAGGTTACTTTTCAAACCGTATTCTCTGACATTCTCATTGATATTCTGGTGGAGCTTAAATAGTTTTATTTATGTGCCTGAGGTGGCCCAGCGGTTTGTGGAAGCCATTTGCTGCCATCCGATTGTAAAGCTTCACCTCTGCTTTTAACATCATCTCAGTGTGTTTTACTAGACGACCTGAGCAGATGGCTGATTTCCTTTTCCTCTGTATTTCCTGTATCCATATGAAACCTCACATAGCACTAATCTCAGATAATATACACGTCATATTATTATTTTTTTTATATAATGTCTAATTGGTCTACTTTGATGTCTTTTCAGAAACCAGTTCTTACGTCGGTCTGGACCATAGCGGGATTTTGTCTACAGAGTTTGTCAGTCTGTTGGAGGAGACAGAGTTTACTATCCTGATTGATGCCTACCCAGCTCCCAAAGTCTTATGGCAGAAAGATGACAAGGACATTGAACAAAACTATTATGTCCTCACTACAACCAGTCACTTTGAGGGCAATCGGTGAGAACTTTCATTTTTACATTGAGTATACAAATGCATTGGAGTTCAGGTTCAGCTGTAACACTATGGACCTTTCATTTGTCATAGTTTCAGTTGTGACTTGGACCCGAGTCAGACTTGAGTCACTATTTTTAGGACTTGAGACTTGACTTGATGAAAGGCTTGGGACTCGACTTGGACTTGAGGCCTGTGACTTGAGAAGACTTGATGTTTCTCCTAAAAAAATATAAGTTTTTATAAAATACTTTTCTCTTTACAGTCGATAAATGCGACTCTGAATTTTACAGGAACAAACTGGAACATGTCCCTCCCTCTTCTGTTTGGTACTTTGGATGGAACTGAAGTACTGTACATACTCAAATGTACTACAGTAATATACAGAGGGAACTACATAGAACATCCTTAGATCCTTCATGACAAAATAACTGTTATTTAGAACTTTTAAATCTGAATTCTTTCTATTCTGACCATAATGATTCACCCTAAGATCTTGTCAAGACATTTAAAAAGGAAAAATGAGCATTTCTACAACTATATAAATACTCATATATAAATATACCATGACCTTTTAAGTACAATTGAGTTAAAAATTGATATAAACTGCAAAAACTAGCTATATTTGGTACTTTGCAGATGACTTGGCCTTGATTTGGACTTACAGGCCAGTGACTCGAGACTCGACTTGGACTTGCCTGTCTTTGACTTTGGACTTGACTCAGATTTGAGGTTAAAGACTTGAGACTTACTTGAGACTCGCAAAAAGACAACTTGGTCCTACCTCTGGTTTCAGTTCAGTTCAGTTCAGTTAAAATGTATTCATATAACACATTTAAAACAACTTCAGCTGACCAAAGTGCTTCACATAAAAGTAATCAAAAACTGGAAAAAAAACAAACAAAAAAACAGATAACGCTATACATAGGAAAACTACAATAAAACACCAAGATATCCTGTCTAGGTAATACTAAATGCCAGGGAGAAGAGGTGAGTTTTAGTCTTAAATGGCATTACAGACTGAAAGTTCAGTTCACACCTCATTTAAGAAATACCTATAGTCAATTTGAACCACTTCTTGGCATTCATATTCTGTATACAAATCAAAGCAGATTGCAAAATTGTTAAAATATTCTGCTGCAATGTTGTTTCACGGTTTTATTTTCCAACTTTCTGTGGGTTGAAACAACAATTTTGCTAGGCCCTGAAATGCAACTGTTGATGTGATTTTGAGCTCTACAAAAATAAAGTGAATATCTTTTTCAGCTATCAGAGCATTCTCAAGCTTCGCCAACCTCTGGAGAAGGACAACGGGAAGTACACCATCATCGCTACCAGTGGTTCACGCAGTGCTCACTTTTCTTTTGACCTCAAAGTTAAAGGTAAAACGCTTAGCACGTCTCTATAGTGTATATTCATTACATATGGCGACTGCTATTGAATACTGACTTTCATTGTTTCTCCAGCTCCTTCTGCAGTCATGTTCCCACCATCCTCCGCTCCGGTATTGCTCCCCCCAAATGAGGAGATGGTGGTGCCCCTACACTCCCCCTTCACCCTCACCTGTCGGGGCAATGGCAGAATTGTCTGGAATACCCCCCTGGTCGTCCCTGAGCAGACGCAGGAAGACAGTAATGGTCTCTTTGTCAACACTGTTACTGTGGACAACGCCACAGCCATGCACACAGGATACTACAGCTGCTACTACAGCTCCAACAGCACGGATAGCATGGACGACAGCGCCATCTATGTCTATGTGCCAGGTATATCGTTTATTGCACTAGTTTTGATCATATTTTACAGGATTTTGTTTAACCTACTTACAACCAATGCCAAGTATATATAAACCTAATAAACTATAACACAATAATAACGCAACTAATAGAATAGAGAACAACAAGCTGAATAGGCGTTAATATGTTAATGTAACATATGAACAGATATTCAGATAACTATAGCATAAACAACATAGCAAGTTTACCAAACTCTCCATCTCACTCCAAATCATTAAATCCATTGTATTCTTCATCCTCGGTGTCATTTCTGAGCAACTTTGCGATCTTTGGAGGTAAAACATAGATCCATGAGGTAAATGGAGTGCCGCTTCCTCTTCTGCTTATTTGCCTTCAGACTCAGCATCAGCTCCAGTTAGAATTATTCCGGCCTTTCTGAATCCCGATAGGATGGTTTCGTTTGTCACTGAAGTCCAGGCTTTGTCGATCCATCCAATGACTTCCAGAAAAGTTGCATGATTCACTTGCCCGGTTGCCATGAAGCTGTGATCGCCATCCCCACTTTCCACCAGTCCCTCAAAATTTTCTCACTCACTCCAGACTTTCTTTCTGCTGCTCGATTACAGTTTTCAGCTTCACAAGCCTAGAGCCTCTAGCGACTGTTAGTGTGAAAATTTTAATATATAAGTCGCAGGATCACCCAAACTATGAAAAAAAGTGTTACTTATAGTCGGAAAAATACGGTAGTTCCGGATGGAAAATTGAAAATATATATATACTAATCACATTGGTATTGTTTATCAATTGGCCTGTGGTTTCCTTATTATATCTTTTCTATACATCTTTGGAAAGTAAAATATTGTTTGTTTTAGAATAGTTCATGTTTTAAGTTTCTCTATTAATGCATTACAATATAACCTACTGGGCAGAAATCTATGGGGAACTTTCCGTGTTGATTATCACACAAGTACACATTGATGCTGACTGTATATCTTACCTTGTTACCTCCAGATCCTGAGGTGCCCTTCATCCCGTCCTTGCTGTCATTTAGTAACCACGTTTTGTCCGGCCCCGATGAGATGGTGGTCCAGTGCAGAGTGTCCGACCCCAGCGCTAATGTCACTCTGGTGAATGTGGACCTGCAGCAACCCGTGCCCTGTGTGTACGACAGCAAGAGGGGCGCGCTGGGGATCTTTCCTGGGGGGACATACGTGTGTAAAGCTCTTATAAACGGACAGGAGTACCTAAGTGAGGAGTACATCGTCCATGGCTGGATTGGTGCTACTGTTGGTAAGTATGTTGGTATTGTTCTAACTTAGAATGTTTTGGGCCATAGTGTAAAGGTGCACTGAGTAACTTCTAGTGGGAGTTGGCCATTTTTGTGTCCTCATGGAAATGTTATTTAGCTTGGAATGTTCCACAGAATGGCATTAACCATACCTGTATTGCATTTTTTACCTGACTTGTAACTTGACATGTGGAGCATAGACTAGACGGTCCTTTAAATTCAGTTCTGCGTAGTTGTTAAAGTTATTTTTACAGAATGTTGATGTGGTCATTTGTGATTTCAGGTAGTGCTTTGCATGTTGAGCTCAGTGCCAGAAGGACGGCCCTGCTGGTGGGGGAGACCATCAATGTGACCTGCCTGGCAAAAGGATCACAAGTTCTGGAGGATCATTGGAAATACCCGGGAAAACTGGTAAGGTTAACTGACTAAAACCAAATAAGCCATGTTTTTATGTAATTAGGTTGGCAGTAAAATCAATATTACAATTCAAAATGTTTTGATCTATGGTTTATGGTCGATCATATCTGTGGGTTTCAGCTTCCTACTGGACTTATACCATTCAAAAAATACAACATTTAGCTTTAAATTGCTAGTAGCTATGGCAACAATCCAAAGTTTTCATCAACTATCGATAGACTTACAATATTGTATGTGGTGAGTTGTTTAAAAATATCTTTTCTTTGACAGGCCAACCGTGGCTTTAAGACAGTGAAGGAGGACCAGAGGAACCAGGAAATCCTGTACACACTGAGCATTCCCCACGCCTCCACAAAAGACAGTGGGATCTACACCTGCTCCATCACAGATGTCATGAGCAACGACAGCCAAACCAAGACTCTCACTGTCACTGTTTATGGTATGAAACTTTTACAAATACATAGAATCATCATCATGTTGTGTAATACGGGGATGTGAAGAGTAGTGGCACTAGATGGTGTAGAATATGGCTCCCTTGTTTTGGCGAAGGAGCAGCTATTTTGAGATTGATGTTTAATTATTGTTTCAAGAAACCTTAAGGCATTAAAGCACAAATTGTTGTAAATTAAATTAAATATTGTCATACTTATATAAGACATTTAAATCATTATAAATTGTAAAAATGAAACCATATCTCAACTTAAAATTGTGCTTTAATAAAATGTTCCTTTTTTTTCCATTTTAGAGAGGGAGTTTCTGGATATTAAGCCTGAATTCTCAGCATTTGAGACAGCAGAGCTTGATGAGGTCCGTGAGTTCCGAGCTGAAATCAGTGCTTTGTCAAGCCCTCGCGTTACCTGGCTCAAAGAAGGACTTCCTCTTGGCGATGTTACTGCGGAAATCTCCACTTCCCTCCGGCAGATCGGCGAGACCAGGTGAGTCCACAGCAGTTGTAACGCCCCATAATGACAAGCTTTAAATAAAGTTCCCAGAGTTCAACTTGTAAATAGTCTTGTAATTAGTGAGGTAGTGATTTAACAACTCAACGCTTATTGGAGGTTTCCCTTCTGTTTTTGCAGGTATTTGAGTGTCCTAACCCTGATCCGGGCCAAAGAGGAGGACAGCGGGAACTACACAATGAACGTCACAAGTGGAAACCAAAGTCGTGGGCTTAGCTTCACTCTGCAGGTCAAAGGTGAGGCAGTGAAAGCTTTTTGATGACAATACAAATTATTTGGGACTGAAAATGTTGGATATTCATACTTTAATACCAGAAATGATGAAGTACATATGAAAAAAAATCTTTGTTAATTTGTTTAGTATTGTTTACACTCTGAAATCTGAAGGTTAATTGGCTAAATGACATACTTAGCATATCATAATAAAATAAAGTGCTTGTAGAGATCTGTTTTTGTTTAACTACAGATTTTAAGTTATTTTGCATAGCTCTGTTCTAATTTTGATTGCGTCTTTTTTTTTTGTCTTGTCACAGTGCCTGCTGTTATTGTGGACCTCATGGACATCCATCATGGTTCAGCTTCTGGTCAGGCTGTGGTCTGCATCGCCCGGGGCCAACCCACTCCTGAAGTTGAGTGGTTTGTCTGCAAAAACATCAAAAAGTGAGCCTTCTTTTTCCATCCAGATTTGTAAACATATTATTTAGTAAAGTCAAAGTAAATTTGTTCTTGTCTCTTTAGCTGTGCCAATGATACGTCTGCTTGGGTGCCTCTCCCTGCCAACTCCACCGATGTTACCATGGACGCACACATGGATGAGGAGAATAATCTTGAGAGCCAGGTTTTGTTCGGTCATCTGGAAAACACTCTGGCTGTCCGCTGTCTGGCTAAAAATGACATGGCCGCTGTGAGTCGGGAGGTCAAGCTGGTGTCTAATGGTAAGGAGGCTCCTCACATGGTTGTTTTTACATTTAGGAAACTAATGATGACAAAAAATGTGCCAATGAAGAGTTTTGGGGTTATATGCATGATGAGTTAGTTGCTGCCCATAGCTGGAAGGCTGGTCAGGTCAGCTGTTAAGATGTTAGGCTGCAGATGTTTTGACCATGTTTATAGGTAATTTCTCCATAATTACAGGGTCTATCCACATGTCAGCAAAAACTAACTAATGAGATGCCATTAATCAATCCCAGAGACAGGACTCTTCTCTGTTGAAAGGACTTTAAGGCCATAAGAATAAAGTGGCAAGTGTGCAGAGAAAAAAACCTAATGATAATTTTCAACATTTGTGGCTCAAAAGTTTGGATATTTCTTTCAAAAGCTGTACAGATCGCAGAGGTGGGGACTTGAAAGTCACGACTTGAACTCGAGTCAGACTTGAGTCACTATTTTTAGGACTTGAGACTCGACTTGGACTTGAAGGTCAATGACTTAAGACTTGACTCAGATTTGAGCCCTGTGTCTTGAGAAGAGCCGATGCTTCTAAAAATATCTGTTTTAGAAAATACTTTTCTCTTTACAGTTGATAAATGCTGTGCAGAATTTACCGGAACAAACTGGAACATGTTCCTCCCACTTCTCTGTTTGTTACTTTGGATGCAACTGAAATACTGTGATGTGGTATCCTTAAATGTACTACAGTAATATGCTGTACAATCCAGTACAACAGAGGGAACTACATGGAACATGATCCTTCCATTTATGTGCAGACTACATAACAAAATAACTGTTAATAAGCACTTTTAAATCTGAATTCTTTCTATTCTGATTGTCATGAGTCACACTAAGATCTTGTCAAGACATTTCAATAGGAAAAAATAGCATTTCTACAACTCTTATATAAATACTCATATATAAATATACTTTGAATTTTTAAGTACAATTTTGTTTAAAATTCATATAAATTGCAAAAATCTAAGCTATATTTGGTACTTTGGTTTAAAGACTTGAAATGATTTGAAGCTCAAAGCAGATGACTTGGGACTTGATTCAGACTTGAGGTCAAAGACTTGAAGCTTACTTGAGACTTGCAAAAGAACGACTTGGTCCCACCTCTGATAGAACCCATAGAGTTATAGAGCCCCCTGCCCTCCACCCTGGCAGCCAACCAACCATAAAACCCCCTATGACCAGGAACAAAATGTATCTGGATGACGTTAAGGTGTTCACTACTGAATTTTGTTTGCCCTTCTCACACTTTTTATAACATCCTTCAACATGTGTCACTTTCCCTTTTCTTTTCAATGCTTTTCCTCATACCGTTACTTCCATTTTGTTTCTCAACCAATCTTTTCAGGGGTAAGTGTTTGGGCCGCACTTAGAGCTGTCAGTGTTGGGGCAGCTGTCAGAAGATGTGCTATTGTAGTCTCTCTCTCTTTCTCTCTCTTTCTGTCCTGTCAGATAATTCAGAGAAACCAGAGCTCGTTAAGACCTTTTGGGTGTCTCTGATGAGGCTTCCACCACCCTTCTTCACTCACACACACTCATCCTGTAATCTTAACAGCAAGCCCCTCTTAAGTGTCCCAGGTCCCTCCTCCCTTCCCCCTCTGCTTGTATCTTATCTTCCCAGCATACCTTTTGCTCTTAGCCACTAAAAGCCGTCCTCCCCTGTTCTCCACTCTGTTGCATTTTAAAGGTCCTATGTTATGCGAATTTGACTCTTGTGAGTGTTAAGGCATGTTACACTGTTGCTTCATCAAAAACATACCTAGAGTTGTGTTTTGTTTTATTCACAAGTTTGAATAATTCTTTATTATTAGTCTGTAAAGCTCAAAATGCTCTGTTCTCCCTTGTGATGACATGTTGTGGTAGTTTTCAGGTTAAGAAATACATTTTACTTTTTGTACAGTAGGGATTGGCATTCCAGGGTAGAACTCATTCAGACGATTCAAGTGAAGATGTATAGAGTTTAAAAACACAATGGAGCACTTCCTGTATTGCCACAATGCCACCTGACATTACAAGGCGGATCAGAGGGTTTTCTGTTTGAGAGAAGAACTCCGGAAACAAAACACAACTCCAGGAATGTTTTTGATGAGGAAATAACATTATAACATAGGTCAGAAAATAGTGTAATATGGGCCCTTTAAAGCACCATTTTGCATACCATACAAGTGTGTTTGACGAGTCGCTCTGCCCTCACACAGGCCCTCACCCTGAGCTGACCGTAGCTGCTGCTGTGCTGGTGCTGCTGGTCATTGTCATCATCTCACTCATTGTGTTGGTTGTCATATGGAAACAGGTACTGGAGCCAACCTCAAGCACTCATTCATGTCATTCATTCACTGATAAAGCATTTCCCAAACACGTAATATTGTCTTCCTGAAGTAATGTTAGACAGAGCTTTATTTGGGTTGTTATAGCTACATGATTTTCAAAATGTGAAAGTAGGCAGTAGGTATTTACATCAAACTTCTTCCATACAACACTTGACCACATTGCTACTATTCACATGCATTATTTTTTTGTTTTAAAGCAGCTTTTTAAGATGGAAAAGTAAAACAGAGTGGTCCACCTTTGCACAGCCAATCAGCTCTTATCCCAAAGTGTTATATAGTTTTATACAACAGACAAAAAGTTTTCTAATTAGATGAAGACAACATGCAATTTATGTGAAAGAGTTGGGTACTTTAAGTTCAGTGTTGCTGGTAACTATTTGATAATAGCTTGATAATACACTTGTTGCTTGTATAGCACATGCCTGTTGAGTTTTTCTATGTAGTTATTTTCTTTAGTAAAATATAAAAAAATGTCTTATGCTCATTTTCAGTGGAATATACGTACTTGTTGTCATTATATTTTTGCTGGTATCTTATCAATGTCAAACTATTTCTTGAACTCTTTTTATATAACTATTTGTGAAATATTGTAGATTTACAAGCACATTATTTTAATTTTGTCTTGTAGAAACCCAGATATGAAATCCGCTGGCGGGTGATTGAGTCTGTGAGCCCCGATGGCCATGAATACATCTATGTGGACCCTATGCAGCTGCCCTATGACTCGAGATGGGAGTTCCCTCGAGATAGACTGGTTCTGGGTGAGATATTTCTACCAACACAGTTCAAACATTTTTCTATTTGTCATTTACTGAACCTTGGTGCCACTCCCACTGAGCGGCTGTGGTCTCTGCCTTTGAGGGGATGCAGTGATAAGATAATCTACTCAGGGAAAAGCTTTGTTTGGCTGCTTGTTGGGCAATAGAGGACAAATGCAGCCTCTTTGGGGGTCACACATGAGAAAACACAGGCAGAAATGTGTTTGTTTAGATCCTTCACTCTCTTACTCAGGGCTTTCATCTTGTGTGATTGACAGGTCGTATACTGGGCTCTGGAGCATTTGGGAAGGTGGTAGAGGGCACAGCCTACGGACTCAGCCGCTCTCAGCCTGTCATGAAGGTGGCAGTGAAAATGCTAAAACGTGAGTATACTAGAAAAACCTAGCAATAAGTTTATGTAGTACCTTTTACTACTGTAATCATGACACTTATGAAGTTCTAGTGTCTAGGCAGGTTCAGCATATTCAAATTACAAATTATAAACCAGTATAATGTAGTATGCACAAAACTGAATAGTCAAAAAATATATTAACTATAAACTGTTATATGTTATAATCCAATGAAACATCATTTTCAGAAGTTTAGATATAATTATTTCTAGGTCTGTTCCAGTGAAAGTGAGAGAAATCTAGCCCTGATTATGTTATACAGTTTCTGAATTCAATCATATATTTACCATTTTTGAGGGATGTTTTGCTTATCAGAATCAGAAAGTCTTCTTCTGCCTCACAAAATTTACAAACTAGGAATGTGGTTTGTTGATATGATGCAATATAATACAATGAATAATAAGGTGTTAGAATAGAAATAGATTTTGACTGGACAAAATATAAATGTCATTATTTTTTCTCTCCAGCCACAGCCCGTTCTAGTGAGAAACAGGCTCTCATGTCCGAACTGAAGATCATGACCCATCTTGGACCACATCTGAACATTGTCAACCTTCTTGGGGCGTGCACCAAGTCAGGTAAATAGTCCACCTGAGTTTTAGACAATAGCATTACATACAGTTAGGAGTGGCTGGCATATGACGCATTTCGAGACATTAAACTGATTTGAAATGGCATTTTTGATGCATGTTGTGGGTTATCTATTAGTGTTTATTGTGCTTTGGATAAGATTAGCCTTGTAACTGACTCTGGTGCATTCCTTAGGCCCTATCTACATTATCACTGAGTACTGCTTCTATGGAGATCTGGTCAACTATCTGCACAAGAACAGGGAGAGCTTCCTGAGTTTAAACACAGAGAAGACCAAGAAGGAACTGGACATCTTTGGCATCAACCCGGCAGACGAGAGCAGCAGGAGGTAAAATTATTCATCCATACAATTATACAAACATAAAGTTGTGACCTTATTCTAGTGTACTAGTTGAATATATTGCCACTGTGTCCTTTATGTGTGAATATAACTTTCAAATTAACCAAAAATGCTCAAAAAAGTTGTGTCAGGTTGCGTCACCTGCTTGTTTCTGCCTGCAATGTTTCTCAGTATGGCATTAAACAGCTCTGCCTTACTAGTACAAGTGGTTTTATAGCTCAAAAGTACCCAGATAAACAGGTTTTTACTGTGAGTGGGGTCACCTCTCCTCAGATCTGACTTGTAACTTGGTCTGGTTTGGTCTTCATGAAGATGGAAAGGTTTAATTCCATATTGGGAAACATTCCAGACAAACAATACACCTTTAAGTGCTTTGTAAATCTTGTCCATCTTTATTTTGATGTTGTGAAATACAGCAAATTGCCCATACAGATTTGACTACAGGAATAAGAATAAGAAGATGGATTACCTCAGATTCTATAACCAAATTTTAACATTACGTCCACTGAAACAATTTGGACCCCCTTCTCTCTCGAACATGCCCCTATTATCTGTAACTCTATCACCGACCAAGCAATTGTCTGGCATCTTCAGCTAATCCAATCCTGGTCTGGAGTAGCCTCAGATTTCAACCTAATTTCATTGTGTTGGAGTTACCTGTTAATTGGCTCCACTCGGAGGAGCCACAGTGAAACTACAGCCCTCTCTCGCACCCTTGTGCTCTAAAGCTGGGTGAATAAAACTATGACTCACAGCGACCACACCTCAAAATGACCAGACTAAAATTGAATTAAGGTTTACCATGTTAGACCCAAACCACACCACATTAAGTCCAAGCTAGAGAAAAAATGCTAGAGGTTTTCACTACAAAAATATTGCTATTCAGGGTTTATAACATCATGTAAAATGCTGGAAATGACTGAAATCTTATCACAGGCATCATGTATTTTGCTAAATAAATTACATAACTTACTTTTTACTAACATAATTTAACTGCTTTGTTTGTTCTCCTTGTCTCTGCACACAGCTACGTGATCCTTTCTTTTGAGAGTAAAGGAGATTACATGGACATGAAGCAGGCTGATAGCACTCAGTATGTCCCGATGCTGGAAATGAGCAACTCCTCCAAATACTCTGACATCCTGACCTCCAACTATGACCACCCCCCCTCCCAGAAGTCCTCCACTGGTGAGGGCACACTTCACCTTACTTTTGCTTTTACAGTTGGTTGGCTGGGCAATTTAACACATTTAACACAAGTAATGTCTAATATTCATTTATCAGCTTTGGTCTGTTTAACTGAGAGGGCAATCCACAGTAAGAGTGTGGTTTGGAGCTCACTTTATTTAGACTTTAGAGTTTAAACTAAAGGAATATTATCCAGCATAAAGTAGATCATCTTATTGCACTAATTTATAGACCAAAATAGGGATATTGCCTGAACGATATTATGAAATCAGTATCTGATCCATGAAAAATTCAATATCAGGGCATTCTTATCAGTATGAGAAAAAAATCATATATTCCCAAGCCCTGGTTATTTTATGAGTTTTCTTGGGTTTTAACTGTGTCTTTTTGTCAGTTTGGTTTAACTATGACGGATACACCCTTGTCAGAATTTAGGCCTGGTACTTCCCCCTAATTACATAGGGAGGATAATTGCAGCACATGCATAATAATGTCCAGTTTCTCCCTGCTATTAGTAAAATCCAGGTTTGTGCCAACTCTATATTTACTGTACCTAAACATGTGTCCGTGTATGTTTTAAAAGGGGAAAGCGAGATCGACATCCTGCTCACAGACGATTTGAACGAAGGCCTGACCACCACGGATCTGCTGAGCTTCACGTATCAAGTGGCCAAAGGCATGGAGTTCTTGGCATCCAAAAATGTGAGTCAAACCCCGAAGTGAAGGAAATGCTTATGAATGAATGTGGACATTGTGGGAGCGCGGGTCACATGCCACATAGGACTTGCGGCCTGGTGACGGTCTGCCTGTGAATCTGTGCCCTGTATGATGACAGCTGTGCCTGCCAAAATGACTGAGGGAGCCCAGTGGGGGTGTGATAAGAGTGTGGCCAGGGACTCAATATAGCAGCACAGGGAGACGTGAACTACAGCCAGAAGCTCCATACTTATTATACTTAAATACACACTGGTCACATCCAAAGCTCTGGCCGCCGTGTTTACACAAAGACTGGCTTTATGCAGGAGAACTGACAGTGGACATAAAATATTCAAGTGGCTGTGGGGGACTTCTACTGGAAGCACTCACTTTGCTTCACAAACTGTAGATCAGTGTTGTCACAATTACTTTTTTAGACATCAGATTGTAGTTTTCAACATAATTGAACAGTAGTTTTGTTCATGTTTTCATGTGGTTTTATATTAAATCTATTATACAGTCAGAGGTTTCAAAACTATTCAGAAATGGTCCAGTTGTGTCCTCCTAACATTGATATTCTTTTACCAGTATTATTGCTTTGTCAAATAAGTATAGTATAGATTTTTTTTTAGTATTGATAAGTTACTCAATACGTTTTGATTTAACTCTAGAGCAGTGTTTCCCAAACTTTTTTTTCTGAGGACCCATATTTTCAAAGTCACAAACCTTCGCGACCCAAGTCAATAGACATTATTTGTAAATCACAAAATAAAGGTGGATTTGACCATTACTGAACATTAATGAGGATATTTTATTGTTGACTGAGGAATAATTTCTTTCTGCACAGTTAGTCCAATTATCTGTAAGTCGCCTATTTGGACATTAAATGTAGTCCATTTCTTTTTCTTTTCAACATTGCATTGAACCAGCAATATTAGAACAAAATAGTCAATAAAATAATTACAAAAAGATTATAAATTATACAAAACATGTCTTAATATTTGAACATTTCTCATGAGATAGGTGGGCTTGTCTGGGTTTTTGTAGTGCGTTTCCAGTCCGGGGTGCAGGAGGAGAGTGCAACACCCATATCAGTGTCAGTATATTGCAGATCTACATGCAGATCATGACAAGGCGACCCAAACAATCTCTAAACTCAGTCTTTGGGAAACAGTGCTCTAGAGCACAATTTGTACACAAAGTAATTCATAATAATGTAGAAGGACATGATGGATGAGTATGTGCAAATAACATACATTGCCTTTTTCTCCAGTGTGTGCACCGAGACCTGGCTGCTAGAAATGTGCTGCTGTCCCAGGGCAAGATAGTGAAGATCTGTGACTTTGGACTGGCACGGGACATCATGCATGACAACAACTATGTGTCCAAAGGAAGTGTAAGTCTTCAATGTTTAATACATGTGCATACCTTTTGCAAATGTGTGTAAGTGTGATTAATATTCTTTCTCTCCTCTACACAGACCTTCCTCCCAGTGAAGTGGATGGCCCCAGAGAGCATCTTTGATAATATGTACACCACTCTATCTGATGTCTGGTCCTACGGTATCCTGCTCTGGGAGATCTTCTCTTTAGGTGAGCTTGGGGTTTTAGAAATGAATTTACAAACGTTTCAGTGAGGCAAATGGGGAGATGTTGTTGCATAGGCTGGAATGTTCTGTATTATTGCATCAAACGTATCTGTCTTCATGGACAAAAGCAGATACATTTCATATCTTTGTAGAAAGGCGAGCATGCTAACAGTAAGAATAGATGTTTGATCAATATAAACACATGTAATTGAATAAATGCAAGATGGATACATTATGTGCCATACTGCGAAACATGTCAGGCAAATCGATAAAATCATAATGAAGACAAGCGGTTGTTCATATTTTCAAAGTGTGCATTAAGTTGTAAGGACATAAATATAGACAATAACAATAATTTGTGAAATCTTTTTAACCTGCAGGGGGCACTCCATACCCGGGGATGGTGGTGGACTCCAGCTTCTACAACAAGATCAAGAGCGGATACAGGATGTCCAAACCAGAGCATGCTCCTCATGATGTGTATGTGATCAGCCTCATGATGCATTTTAACAAGCAGCGTTATTGTTTAGATCTACATAGTCTCCTCTCACATATAGCTCATGGAAACGCCTGTAGCACACACTTGTAATGGAGCGGTTCTGTACTGTGTAGTGGTGTTGCCGTGCGTCACAGCCCAATCACCAGGCACAGGTTGTTCTGTTCTTGCTCTAATGTTTTTATGTTTTTTGCAGGTATGAAGTGATGATGAAATGCTGGAACAGTGAACCGGAGAAGAGGCCATCCTTCCTGGGTCTGAGTGAAACTGTTGCTACACTGCTCCCCTCCAGCTACAAGAGAGTGAGTGCTCTGTCACTTCAAATGACCACACATCCTTACAGCTTTACATTTGTTCAATATTGCCAAGCTTTTTAAAATGATTATTACCCACCACAAGTCACAATCACATCATCCCCTTGGCCTTTATGTTCACAGTGATCCTGTAAATTGACTCTCTGATAAGGATCTTAGCATTAAATTTGAGTAAAAATGCTCCTGCAATAATACAAATGCGTGACACAAATAGCTTGATTTTAGTCTTTTCTTAGGGAGGACACTTATATTTTGGGATGCAGAGGATCTCGAGAAAATTCTTTTTATAGTACGTTGGGTTGCCAAAAAACTTAACATCTGATACTAAATGATAATAAGTCCTTATCAAAAAATATATATACATACACTTTTTAAAACTCACAAACACAATAAAATGTACCTTTTCTGAACAGTTTAGAATGATCTTGTGCAGGACTAGGACCAGATGATAACACAGTATTATTATTTAATGTTAAACATTACATTAGGTTGTCTAAGTAAGAATACTTTATATATTTTTTGTGGTATTGAAATCGATATCGAGTATTCCTCAAAATCAAGTTGGAAATTATTGAAATTATTCCTGTGTAACATAGTTTGTAATGTGTATGTGCAGACAACTGGTTTTGCCTCCCCTACCAATTTTAGTACTAGGAAGCACTTCCCAAATTAAGCACGTATGAAGAGAATATGATGCCATTCAACATCACCCATGCTTTCTTTCTCATATCCAATCCCAATATAAAACAGAGCAGCTGAAATTGACTTTACTATGTGCAAGTTGAAAATAAACAGCTCAGAAATCTCCACTTCCTGCTTTAGTTGCACTCTCGTCCTTTAGTGGTTTAGCAGGTCTATATTTCCGTAAAACACAAGCCTAAAAGTGCAGCTGTGTGTCAGAGTGGCCAGCCTTAGTGTAGGTAATGACGCAGACCAGTCATGTCCTCACCCTCCCAAACCTAAACGAGCCCATTAAAAGCACACATGGCACTCGAAAACAGCCCTCCAGAGCAGCTCCCACTCCTATTTTAGCACCTCAGGCAGGACGCATGTGTGATTTCCAGGTTAAATCACAGCCTGAGGGAGCCAGAAGAACGCCTCAAGTGCCACAACTAAAATAGAGTGAATTCTAGGGATATACTTCACACTTTTACGAGCATCACCTCACAGTTTTAATGGTAATCTGATTTAACTTGTGCAAACCACTGTGCTATATATTTATCGATGTTGTTTATCGACATTGTCACCTTTTGCCAAATGATTAGTCTGTTCCTTAAAAGCATCTTTATTGTATTATTTATTACACTTTTTCTATTTAATGATTTGATGTTACTTTAAATTATTTTGATTGTTAGATGATCTATTTAAGAGATTAGGGCAGTGTTAGAGCAACTTAACTTTATGGAGGTGGCACGTCTGCAATGGAAATATATAATAGTAGGGATGTAATGTTATCCAAATATATTATCACGATATGCATCTCACGGTACGATATTTATTGCGATATTTTGGAAACGTTAATATAATTGTAGATAGGAGACTTTTTTGCTTTTAAAATACCTTGACAACATTTTGGTTTGAATTATCTCCATCATGAAAAACATATTTTTTCATGTTGTCTGCATTGAAATGGATCATGGGATATGTAGTGGTAACACTCTATAATAACTACACCTTACTTAGCCTTAATAAAGCATGAAAAAAGACTTAATTAATAATGAACAAAGATTTAATTAATAATGATTCACGCTTAGTAAATGCTTAATAAAGCATAATTTGTCTTCACTTTAGAAAAGCTCTCAAAAAGACTTAACTAACAGATAACAGCTGCCTGAATTATCATTGCATTGCATTATTAGTAAATCATTCTCTCATAGTTTACTAATGATTAATAAATGCTCAAATGGTTAGTCCATGAATAATTAAGTATGAAATAATTATGAGTAACTATTTACAGCACAAACAAATTAAGTGCAAGTGCTAATTAAGGTAGTAATGAAGTAGTTACTAAGTGTGAATCATTATTAATTAAGTCTTTGTTCATTATTAATTAAGGTTAAATAAGGTGTAGTTATTATAAAGTGTTATCTATGTAGTTCTATGTTTATAAGCTGTGGCTACTATAAAACCATGCATTTAAGCAAGGGAACTTGTGATTCGATATATTGTGACAGCCCATGATATTACTGAGACTTTTGACGATACGATATCACGATATTTCAGTTATTGTTACATCCCTATATAATAGTAAAAACAGTATAAGTAGTAATGTAAGTTTTATTTAATCTTGTGGAAGATTACAGCCAAGTAGGTGGAAAAATAGAAAATATGCTTATTTTTCTTTCAACACAGAAAACCATTGCATAATACATTCTACCCAAGTAGGGTCAACATTATTTTGAAGTCTAGCGAGATCAGATCCAGTTTAATTTTATGTTTTCTTTTGTTGTCTTGCAGCATTATGAAAGAGTGAACCATGAGTTTTTGAAGAGCGACCATCCAGCCGTGACCCGCGTGTGCACAGAGAGTGACGACTATATCGGCATCACATACAAAAACCAGGGCAAACTCAAGGACCGGGAAAGCGGCTTTGATGAGCAGCGCCTGAGCTCAGACAGTGGCTACATCATCCCCCTCCCCGACCTCGACCCCATTTCTGACGATGACTACGGCAAGAGGAACAGGCACAGGTGAAAAGACTATTTACAAATACGCATGCACAGCATCAGTTAGTATATAATACGATTCGAAGTGAATATGACATTAAACAGCTCCATGTTACATTTACTGAATTACTGGTGGTTTTATAGCTCAAAAATACCTAGAAAACTGGCATTCTAACTGTGAGCGGTGTTGCGTTTGTCCTCCACCAGAAATGTTGCACAATGCACCTTTAAAGCATTTCTTGGTTGAACTTTGATGTTATTACTTAGTTCACTTTATATCCTTGGTATATTCTAATCCTCAATCAATATGTGTTTTTGCAAATTCACTTTTGGTACTGGTGATAGATAAAAAGATGGTGTTAAAATACAATTTGGGGTAAAAAAAAAAAAAAAAAAATGTTAGAAAAGTTTTGTTCTAGTGGACTAGTAGTAGTGTGTATATTTTATATTTAGGACCACCTTAAATATAAATTAAAAAGCACCATTATTAAACATATCCCATATCTGAATGACCCCATATGTCAGTTGGCAATTCTGGTAATATTTTATTGAAACAGGCCTAGAGATCTTCTTGTGTCTTGTTTAATATTTAACATTGTTTTCTATGTTTTCTTTGTTTTTCAGTTCTCAAACATCCGAAGAAAGCGCCATTGAAACAGGCTCCAGCAGTTCGACTTTACCCAAGCGAGAGGGCGAGACTTTGGAGGACATCACGCTATTGGACGAAATGTGTCTAGACTGTAGCGACCTGGTGGAGGACAGCTTCCTGTGACAAGAGCCTATGGGACAACCAAAGACTCCAAATAATTGTCTTCCTTCTATGGACTTATTCTGAGGACAATTCAAACCACTTCACTGTCTGAAAAGACTGTGATGACAGTAGGGTACGCTCCCCACACCTCCCTGGACACTGCCCCCTGCTGGGCTTGGAGATGTGAACGTGCAACAATGAGACGACGGGACTCAAATCTGCGAATCTGACAACAACTTCAGATATGAGGGATAACACATTGACTTTTGTATGGTAGAGCTTTACTATATTGGGCATTTCTTAACAGCAAAATAAGCAAAAAAGGGATGAATGATACGTGCCATGAGAAGATCTGATTTAGCCATAGAAAACCACTACAGATGCACTATGGACGCTATATAAGCATTAGCAGGTTCAACATTTCTTACAGTGACCTGCCTTAGAATCACAAGATGCTGGCACAATCAGTGGAATAGAATCACAAGCACAACATGTGGACTGTGCGTTTTTGTATAATGTCTTTAGTAGCTACAAAGTGCAGTATTTCAAGTTTATTTTTATACTTCATTGTGTATTATTGCGTAGATTTTGACCATAGTTGTTGAAATAGAAGGTACTGTTATGAAAATACCTTTGTAAGCTTCTTTGCCTTGTGTCTCCACCATTTTTGCTCCAGTGTTTTGCCCCAATAGGTTGCTGTCAGCGTACGGACCTTCCCAAATGAAATGTGATTGTATTGTAAATAGATCCAGAGTTTCTTTATATGATGAGTATTGGGGTTACACTCAAGTATTTTGTATAGCACATATCAATCATCTGCACCCGGTAAACATCCAACTTTATGCCAGCTTTAATGGACCATTCAAACAGGAAAGTTGTATTTGACTCTGACAACAAACAAATCATATCAAATTTTTAAAGGACCAAAGCCAGCTAATTGTTTCATTAAGATTAGCAATATTAACCATTTGAAGGTACTTGCAATGACCTGGTGTCAGTATTTTGTACCGTCTTTGTAGTAGAGCAGCTACTGTACCAGCTACGCCACTGCCTCTCACCATCAATGTCAATGTGATGATGTAATCTGCAATCAACTCTTGCACTTTTTATTTTCTTCCATTCTGATTTTGATGTTGCCAAATAGTATTAGACAGAGGGCTTTAAAAGCTTAAGCTGTAGAAGACTCCTTTGTGTAAAAAGTGGATGTGAATGTCTGGTGTGTTTGTGTGTTGTTTACGGTACAGTGTTTATAATTGTAAGTACTCGCCCAATACAATGTTTTACTACTATGCTTCAGTATTTTACCACATGTACATTCAGATGATTTATATTTCAATAAAAGTTTATAATGAGGATGTGTTTCTTCCAGCATCACTATGAAGACTAACATGTAGAAATGGCAATGTGAGATAAAATGGGATTAGCAGAAATGCTAAATCATTTTCCATTAAAGGTGCACTATGTAACTTTCTGGTTAAGTGTCACCAGAATATTCCATAATATGACCTTAAACAGCTCTACCTTACATTTAGGTGGTTGGGTGGTTTTACGGCTCAAAAATACCTAGAAAAACATGTTCTTGCCTCCCCACAGATCTGACCTGTAACTTGGCCTGGTTTGGTCTCCATGAAGACAGAAAGGTTTTAAGAAACATTCCAAGCAAAGGATGGAAAAAGTATTTGACTGAGCCTCCACCAGAAAAGTTACACAATGCATCTTTAAGTAGTCTAATTTATGTATTTATTTATTTTTAAAGTGCCTAATTTAGGTTATAGTTAAAGTAGTTGAGTAGATATCCCATTTATGAGAGTAAAACAAAAAACAATCACATTTATAATGTGACTTTCCACGGAAAAAACACTCTAACTACTATAAACACAGTCAGCATTCTCACAATTAAACTCAAAGCGCATGGTTTATTAAAAATATAAAAGATAAATAAACACATTTATTATTATTTATTTAATAGATTACAGAGGTAATCTAATCTCTGTGCTAAATGTTGTGTATTTGTTTTGATTAACACATGCGGTCCCTTTTAATAAAAACATTTAGGCTAAATCGAAGTGGACTGAAGAAATATTGTAATGACCATTTCTTTCCACAAGATGGAAGTCGACTTTCAGAAACAGTCCACACAAAGTGGACTAAGGGCGCCAGAGCACGAGCTGAAAAAAGGGAACGTATCCCCAAAACTCAGGTTAACGCGGATGTTTTTTTATTATAATTTATCTTTTTAACTTCTTGCATTGTTCTCCCCGATTTGTACTCATTTTACATAACTTATTTACAAATTTAACTGCTAAAAATACAAATGATAAAAACTGAATGATATAACACAGCAAAGCTGTTTCTGGAAACAGAATGAGCTTAAATACTCTCCTTTGTGTTATTAAAACCTGTCGCTTTGGGGTACAAATTGTTTTTCTGCTGTATCCTACTTCTGCGCATCTCAGCGAGTTTCCAGAGGCGAAGAGAGGAGGAAAAATCATTTATCATTGGTCTCCTTTTGTGTATTCTGTGTGGGGCCTAACGGCGGCACAAAGACTCGGGGTCAAAATACTAAACTACTGAGAAGTGTCCTCCTGGCGTCCTGATGAATATGTTTTTGTTCTGATTCAGGTAGTAAGACATAGTAGTAGGACATTACTCAGCGATAGTTCACAAAGCCCAAGGAGGTGCATTTGCGTGTCCGCAGGTATATGGGCCTTCCAGAACTGAGACCTACATGTATCCAAATTATGTCACACTTAAAGCTACACTATATAAATTTTTACATAAAAAATATGGAGCAAAAGCATCTCCCTAACTCTTATTTGGCTTCCTCCTGTTTGTTTGCCTGCAAGTGTTCCACCATATGGCATAAAACCCATCCATATCCATGCAGAATATTCCCAACTATGGTTTTTCTCAATTTTTTTATTCTAATATATTTCATGTTGTTTCAGTGGAGATTAAAGAAACTTGTTCAGACACCTGATACTGTCCATTCTTGCAGAAATGGAAAGAAAGGTAAACTATGACCTTTTCCAGGCAACACAATATTTATAGTGCATCTTTTCAATAAATGTTTCTCAGACTTCCTATGTTTGGAGCTTTTAAGTTGCTGTATAAAATCAACTTAAATCAAAACTGTAAAGAAAGGCTCTCGATTATTAGCTGGAAAATGTATGCCTCTTCCAAAAGCTATTTATGATAACCATGATAATATGTGTATTTGAGCTCCACAAGCACCTGGAACTGCTCCTGCCATTACAAAACACAAAACAATTACTTTGTCCTTAATCTGTTGTGAATGTGCAGTATTTATTGGAGGATCATATTTCCTTTTATTTGTCGTAAACAGACAAACTAGACCACTTAAATTAAATTAAACCTATAAAAATTTCTTTTGCACTTGTCACTAATAGGGTCTGTGTTTATGACTCTGTTCCTAGTGTGTAATTAAGGACACAGATGGTTTACATTGTTTACGGTTTTACTAAGACTATGTTAAATCCCTGGTTCTACGTGGGTAACAGATATGATATGTGCTGAGGTCCATAACTTTGTACTTCAGCTTTCATTTTTTGTTGCTACAAACTGCCACTTGCTGATGTCAACTTATGATCAATATTTACCTATCGCACCGAACCAAATAATGATTAGAACAAACATGAAAACTTGTCATATGCACTTTAAACTTGTTCTTCTTGCAGACCTAATAGTTAATAATAGTTTAAAATTTAAGTCTACGGAGAACAGCCAACTATATTTGTGGAACAATGCTCACAAGGACTGCAGCTGTCTCTTGTAATAAATCTAATTTTATACTACATTCATTTCAGATCTTCCTGAAATGAGTGCAATCAGATTTTAAAGGTGTATTTTAACAGCCTAATACAGTTATGAAAGTTGCAATATGTAACCTTTGTAGTGAAAGGTCTGCCACTTGCTTGTCTCCATGGAAATGTTATTGCTTTGCTTGAATTTTTCTTCTGTGTGACCTGGTATAAAACAAATTTTCATGGAGACACACCAGTGACACACAAGGCCAGGTTACAGGTGTGGAGGTTTTTCACTGCAAGTTTTTACAATACAACCACCTGTAATAGAATAAAGACAAGAGCATTCTTGGCCAAAGCAATAACATGTCCATGGAGACAAGCAGAAGGTGGTCTTCTGTACAAAAACTCCAAATGAATGTCAGGACTTATTATAAAATACATAGGCGATTCCAAGAGAAGCAGAAAGTGGCTAAGTCACAGGTGTCCATTTTGACTAGAGTGGACAGTAGAAGATGTTTTGTCTCCAAAATGTAAATGTTTTGATCTTGAGGCATGACGCTTCAAAGTCTATAATCATTCAGTGTTTTGAATAGGGATAATTAGATTGAAGATTGATAATATGTTGACAGAAAGAGCTTAGAGTAATAGAAGATTTGTACTGTTTTATGGTTCACAAAACACAGAGAATTTTAGTTTTGCCTTCCAGCCTAATTCAGAAGGTCGTGTTGACAGAGTGACTGTAGGGTGTGGATGTGCTCTGATTTACTGCCACTGTGTCAAACATGGACTGGAAAACTCAATTTATCCTGTTTCTCCTTTACCACACCATACTTTGAACTGAAGACTCCTGTCACAGGGGCATTCATTTGCACATGTTTTACTCAGCCTGCATGTTTTGTCCATGTTTTGCCTGGCGGCTTTGAACACACTTTTACAAAACTTTACAAAGCAAGTAGTTTGAGCTCCAGTCTTCTCTTCTTGAGTTCAGATGGACGTGATCAGGAACATGCATGGTTAATCCATATCAAAAACATATATGGATGGAACAAATGAGACTGCCCAATCAAGGAGTAGTTCTAAAACCTGTTTATCAGAGGTGAGATGACCAATGAGCTCTTGCCCGGCCAGTCAAGGCCACGCACTTTTACAATACTTCACAAATATATTTGAAGTGACCAGACTACAAGATCTTCAGATCTGTTCAGATGTGCAGAATACACATAACCAGGATCTCAAGCTACCATTGTACGCCAGCAAGTGGTTATTTGCAAACCTCACATGTGAAATTTGTCCTGGTAGCATCACCTTCTTGTCTCAGCAGAGATAGATAAGTTTAGTACCACAAGCAGGTAGCATGTAGCCAGGCTGGCGCCACCTAGTGCCTCCGCTCAATTTAATTTCTCTCCAGCGACTAGGTCAGGAATTGGAATACACTAGACTGTTCGCAAAAACCCCAAAAGTGTGAGTTCAGACACCAGCCAATCCTTACATGGCAGAGCCATACATTCTGTGTAGGCCACAATTAAAGCCGGAACAAAGAGAATGTTTGGTGAATTTTATCAAGGAGAAAGATGTTATTGCCTTTCTTCCTAAGGGGTTTGGGAAAAGCTTAATATACCATTTAGTGCATTACATATGTCACAACCAAACAGCAGAGATTGGTTAAATAAAAAAAATTACTCGCCTACCGTCCAGCGAACGAATTCTAGGTCAGACAAAGTGAAACCAGCTGATGAAATGTTACAAATAGATATTTAATGTTCCGTAACCTACGCCATGAATTTTGGGTCAGTTGTAGGCCTGGATCCATAAAACAAACACCATATTTTTTATTCTGCACATTTTATTAAAATCCATGAGCCACTTTTGGATCCTTTAAGTTCTGTTGACTGAGCTCATCTATGCATTTTGTAAAGAGAAATACCTCGCGGATACTTCAAGCAGCTTTGTTTGTGCTGATTTTTAGCTTCTCGCCTGTAAATAACACCTGATTACTTCCCATTCCTTGGCTTTCTTGTCATTATGCTGAATGGCCCCCACTGCCTATGGTATGACAATGAGCGTAATGATAATGAAGGCCTAGTCGGAAACTGTCTGTCTGAAGTGAGGACAGAATAAATGTGTGTTCCAACCCCTAGAGCAACAATCCTGACAGAAAGATCTATGACGCAGTTGGTTTCTGAGAATTTTACTTCAGAAAAAACAAAACAAAAAATAAAAACTAATTTCTGAGTAGGAAAAGATGGATTCTTTTTGGAAGCAGTGTTGTTGCAGAGATGATGGAGATATTAAGCTGACAGTGCTAGCGTGGGTAGAATTTGTGGGTAATTTATTTTCTGAATGACAGAAGAACATCCTATAAAACAGTGGGTAGAGTGTTTTTATGCTTTCAAATATTTTGCAGTATCAAAATTTCTAGTTTATGGCAGGGCTAACACAGCATGGATTTTAGCAGAGGGAAAAACCAGAAGACATTTCTAAAGTAGGACTGAACAAAAACTGAAACTATGGACTAAAACAGTATGGAAATATGGACCAAGTTCCAAGACCAAAGAACTAAATCTGTAATGAACCAGTCCAAACCAG